TGGACAAAATCCTGCACCACTTTGCGCACACTTTTCTTGCTGCCCTCGTTCTCCCTCGTTAACATTGGGGCCACCGCAGTGAGAAAACAAAAACAAGTTGAAGGTCCAAAATCCTGCACCACCTCCTCAGAGGGGTCGCGCCAACATTGAATGAGGGGGCACGGGGGTTGCTATGCGACCCTTCCAGGGTAAAGTGGTGAGGTGGTGCAGGATTTTGTCCATCAACAGTAAGTTATTCGATGTCACCTTTTTTTCTATAAAGAACATGTGCCTGACCTACTGGCGAATTGATTTGAGTGACTTAAAGTCTTAAACCATGCTACCAGGGACTTAATAGAAACAATCACCTCGTGCCACACACGTACGTGCCAATCCAGAAAAGAACGTCTTTTCTTTTTTCGAAACCAACGGCCAGACCGCCCCAGTCGCGCGCTTCAACCCCACTGGGACTCGGCGAAGGACCCGGGACTCGGTCCTCCAAGAGTGCTTCCACCAGCTCCAGTGCCCCAGCTGCCGCTGCCCTGCGGAACCGCGGACGGTCCGTGAGGGCATTCGAAAAACGAGAGCCGAGCGGACGCAACCCGAGCGGACGCACCTGTTACGAGCGTAGCGATGCACTTCAGTTACGGTGCTCAGGTAATGTAGACTCTCGATCAATAACCCCCCATGTGAAGAGATTTTTCAGTTCAAATGGGGGAGTTATTAAGCAAGAGCCTACATTCGGCTGCTGGCTAGACCATACAGCTCAGTGAAGTGAAAAGAAATGCGCTCACACGCGGACTCACCACGCTTTTGGCGCGCGCGCTTTGGCTTGCCCACAGCTCTTAGATTCTAGATCGTTTGAGTGAGTCTGGAGGGTCGTGGCCTGCACGCAGCCGCGCAGCGCCACTTTTCAGAAAACATACTTCCTCAGACCCTGATCCTGGGGGGATGATACTAGTCAAGAACAGGTATGCAAATGTATTATTTCAAAGGAAACCACAATTACATTTGTGGAAAGCTCTTTCGTGCCCCTGTTTTTCCACAAACACCTGGATACTAGAGATTCCAAAAAAGGTGATGATATGTGATGATCCCTTGTTGCCATGCTCTGCAGGTAAATGCTTGAAACAAAAACCATTTGGGTGCATGCATCAAAGGCTCTGCCCACATGTAAGAAACAGTGACATCCATGATCGACCAATTTCAATACGGCCTCAGTAAACCTACTACACCTATGTCGATCAAAGGAGAGACTGGTATGTCACGAGAACCACGTGCGGAAACTTCACCGGGACATACGTGCGAAAGAAAAGACACGGAGTCGTCCATCCCTTTCCAACTAAACACGCTCGTTCCGGCTACAGCTTTGAGGACTCGGTTTACGGCCGAAGCCAGGTCCGCCTGTCCAGCAAAGCAGGTTTGTCACACACCCCAAACAGCTGCAAGCAATTTTCCTGCATGTCGGCTATAGATGCCTCCCTTCCAACAACCCAACATAAATAGAAAGGACATAAGACGCACAATTCCTCTCGCAACCTTTTGGCTTTGTTTGCATTGTCTGGTTGGCTGCACTGAAAATCCCATCCTGTGTAGCAAAGGTCGTCCAAAGGTCTCCTGGGGAATGACATGCCAGCATGAGAAGCATGTCAGAACAAGTAAAGCACTTGTGCGGCCCCAAAACGAACAGCTTTGAAGGGAAACACCAGCAACAACAGTCATTCATCGGTCATTCAGTTCCAAATCTATTCATATATATGATATATAATTGATGTATATATGTAATTAATAGTATAGAACATATATATAATTAGATATATATATATAATATGTATACGTAACATTACGTAACTGTATACGTAACTGTAAGGCACGGAGGAAAGATTGGTCCCCGACGGAACATCTGCCGGTCCGGAACAAACTGTTGATTGTGTGACATGGTTACCCAACACAAACGGACACAGGTTACAATACTTGGGAACCTTTAGGATCCTGTTAAAACATGTTAAAACATCTATCCCTGATTTGCGTCAAGGAAGGGTGGTGCCATACACCACCTCTCAAAGCTAGCCAAAGAGGGACCCATAATGAGCAGGGTTGAACAGTATTGAACATCGGGACGGTTGGTTGGCGGACTGTCGTCTCATATCATCTGAGGCTCGCGGAATGTCAATGGAGAATGGATTGCAAAGGACATCAAAGGACTGTAGAGAGATGTCACATGACCGGAACATGTTTCTCCACGCACTTTCAAAACGTTTCAATCACGCCCTTTCTAAACCTGTCTTTCTTCGAAAAAAAAGAACCTCGTCTTTCTCAGACTCTCGAAGCCATGTTTTCCCTGGCCCCATCCCATCCACCTCGCCCTCTGCCAGCTGCCGGAGGTCGGACACCCAGGTGCTTGCCCGGGAAGTGGGCAGCGCCTCGGGTCTTCATTGTGGGACGGTGAAACTGGGACAGCAACACGGGTGTGCACAAACGGTGAAGGATGGTGTTAAGAAAAGACATTAACAGCTCAGATCTTTCAAAAGCCTCGAACACTCTTTTTCAGCATGAAATGAACATACTGTAAGATCAATCATCAATCCGTTTTTTTATCCAAAAATATCTCAGTGCCAGGGACATCAAGTATCGAGGATAATTTGAGAACATCCTTGAAACACCGATACATACCGAGACCCTAAGCCGGCACCATCCACTTGAATCATGTAGTTGTCTTCATGCAATGGATGTTTCTGGCGGAACGAAGTTGATTGTTTAGTGTCGGCCACCAGCCGAAGAACAGGGCAGGGAGACCCCAGGTCAACGTCGGACAAGTTTCACAGCTCACATGGAAGGCAGCCAAACCCCTGGTCCATGTCCCGCCCATGTCACATACAGGTGTGGTGCATTGTCTGCCTTCTTTCGAATCTCTCCACACCTGTTTTTCAAGCAAACATTAAGATCGCGTGTCGACTAGACCTTGATTGATGGCAAGTCGTCAGTCCACCAAATGCTTCGTGCTTCGGCTCAGGGTGTCCTTACTTGTCGGTCACTTTGCCTTGTCACCGTATGACATCTTCGTCCGGTGCCCATCTCGGACAACGACCAACTGGGTCAGTCGAACGAAGCAAAGCTGGCTGCACCCGACACGCCTGCCACGTGCGCCACGAAACCGGTCTTAAAATGCGAGGAATAGGGCCATGCTCTTCCATTTGCTTGGGTCTTCCATGCCGTTGTCTGGCATAGACTGTGTAAAGTCTGCAGGTGTGCAAGAATTGGGTCATCAATGGTCGTAAGATGTTCCAAGCAGGCTTGGCCTGTTTGTTTATGGGATGGTAGTGCTTGGGGTGAACTTTTATACTAAGCCTACTGAAGGCCAATCTTCAATTTCTGTGTAGATATGAACATGGATGTATGTATACAGTATACATGTATACTTGTAGAATCTTATAGAGATCAAGAAAGGTCCTGCCCCCAACCAGTCTACCAAAGTCGACCAATGGAGCTTTTCCATTGAGCTTCGTCCTCCGCCCGATCGCGACAGCAGCGGAGCAGCAGCGGTCGATCCCGTCCTTTTTGGTCCCCTCGGTGCTTCCACCGAGTTCGGCGTGGACAGCACGGTGGACACAATCGTGTCGGCTGTCAGGGATTTGGAAGAGTTCGTATGCCAGGAGCTGAGGTATGACAGTATATAATTGACGACTTGAGATTCCGCGGGAAACCTCCAATGAGAAACTGACTTAGTCAGTTAGCCGTCAATAGGAATTCGATGGAATTCTTTTTCCAGGGAGTCAAGAATCGATGCACCTTCGCACCTGGGATCTCTGCGAACATGTTCTTCCACACTCTCCTCTCCTCACTCTCAGGGGCTCGCCGGAACAACAGGCAGAGCTGCCCAACACTTCGGCCCAGGACCGGGTCGGCGTGTTCGGTATGACCAAGCTTTGAGATTCAGCATGAAATCTACAACAGTTTGGACATGTAGAAACCAGTGGTCCGTTGCTTCAAGGCACTCCACCATGATTCAGAAGGACGTTCATGTGCAAGATCATATATGTGTGTTGTGGTTTCTGTTGACGCCTCTCAAGGCCTACAAGCCAGATCATCCTGCCTGGGTTCTATACCTTTTCCATCCTTTTCCCATCTGTTCCTCATTCCCAAAGACAAAGGAGAACACTAGAAAATACTTAGTAGCTATATATAATGCTATTATATACTTCATTCACAGACTTTGGTCACCTGAAGGTGTCGAATGTTCATGTCATTTCGTCAGGTTCTTGGGAGTTGGACCAGTGATCACGCCAACAAGCATTCAGGGATATTCTGGGGATATGTCGGTCCAAACCGTTCAACGACACCGGGATTTAACATTATAACATGATTTAATTTAGCTGATCTATCCCTTTCAAAACAAAACAACACTTGTCTACTTTTTCCATGCTTGATCCGATTTGTCCGTGTCTATACAGTCCATGTCGAGCTTGGTCATATTGACATCTTTACGTCGCAAGGGCATGTCTTCACTTGCCCGCAACTCACTCGTTGTAGTTTTGCTGCAACGTCTTGGATTTGACCATTCTCGTCCGAGGTCTCCTTTCGAAACCGGAGCCAGCCCGCTTGGAATCGGAGCCGAGGTCCGGTCCGTGAAACGGTTCGGTCCGACCTGTACGGGTACTCCCTACGTAAAGTACGGTTTGGTGAAAGTCTACGGTTTGGTTTCGATCCATGCGGCTTCGTATCTCGCTCTGCCCTGCGCCCCCCTGCGGCCCACAAAACACATCTCTTCATCGAAGGCTTGAGATTGAGGAGTCTCTGGAAACACCAAACCAAGCGTAGACCGCAAGCAAATCCAAGCATCCAGTTGCTACCCAGCAACGAGGCCCCGTTGGGGCAAAACGGTCAGGGGCCAAGGTCAACCAAGCTCCCCAGGTACACTCAAGCGCCGAGCGATCTTTAAAGACGCAACTCACGAGCATCGGAGAATATACATAATATACGAATAGAATAATCTCTCAATCAGAATGGTATGGTTCATCCATGATCGAAGAAATCATCGATGATCGTGTTCGGGCGCCAAAAAACACATTTTTGTTGTGAGATCCGTTCTCCGGGTCATCGACCCGTTGATCCGGTGATTCCTCGTTCGTTTGGGGAAAGCTGTCAGTAGCACTTCCAGCAGGACTCTTCAAGAGCTATTGGAAGTGTATGATGCTGTGCAATGAAACCCGCACAAACATGGGTTGTGCCTTCAGCGCAGCGGGGACAGAAAGGCAGTGAGGGTGAGGGCTATGCTGTTAGTCATCTCAAGCCTGAAGCTATAACAGCTAATTATTGCCTAATTACAACAAATATGTGCTTTGCACTACCTTACACCACGGATTCTTAGGATCGAACAGAGTTCACTTCAAATAAGGAGCTCTAGCCTGCGTCCCACCCAAACAAATGGGATATGGCTTCTATAGCTGAGCTCTTTTCCAAGCTGCCGTGATCACTATAAGCCCAAGTGTTCAACAACTGACAGCCATTTTGGACTCAGAAAACAGGTTCTGTCAAGGGTGAAAGCCACTGCAAGTGTGAATGACCAAGTGAATGAGCTCCCTTGAACCACCCTCAGGAGCACTCGTGCTGCTCTTGGGAATTTGTCTTCGCCCCGCAACCCAAAAACATTAAAAACGTAATATACTATTACATAATATTACATATATATATTATATCACATATCATCGCATCATTATGGTGGAACAAACCAAAAAGAAATGACGGACCTATCCTTCTCCACTCTTTGAACACACACAGGGTCGACGCATCAAGAGTGGTATGGCATGGTGCATCACACCCACAGCCTCCACTGGAAGAAGAACTTGTTGATTTTACTGATGAACAACCAGAACAGCACGAAGGGCACGAAGCTCCTGTTTTTCCCAAAGCCACCTAGCCATGGTGACGAAACTGAGTTTCACTCAATATCCTGGTGAATGCTGCTAGTCTCAGCATCAAATCAGAGACCATGTCCCACCCCTGTTGGACAAGTCAGTCTTGAGCAATTCCCAACCCAGGATTCGCCATGTTTCGCCGGTCGACTCGGGCTCCGAGCCACATGAAGAGGCGCCTGCACGGCCGGCCGGTCGGAGTGGGTCGAACAGCAACTCGGTGCATCCCAAAGAAGTCCAGGAGCTCGTAACACTAACATACACTAACACCATTCTTCTTGGGTGGCAAAGGATTGGGCGGAAATCACAAGAGTCGAACATTTTGGCCTTCTGTTGGAATGAGTGGGTCATTTGCAGAAAGTTGCCGTATGTTCGACCGTTGGAGTATATAGGTGAACTCGGTGCCAAGGTTCCAAGGTAGGCGAAGAGTTATGACCAAAGTTTGGTTCTAGGGTTCCACATAAGGTTCCACATAGAGTTCCATTGCGACCAACTGCGATGAGTTCCACCTGGTTCCGGAGTCACAGGGCTCCACCAAATCAGGGCCCCAAACCGCCAAAAAGTGGATTGGGCTTTCTAAGAAGCCCCCCTTGGGCGCCATGTGGCAATTGTTGCTTACGCCGTTGGCACTTCTTCAGCACGGGAGCGCTGATCCGCCTGATCAACTGATCCGAACGCTGTGCACGCTCACGTCCCACTGAAGATGAGGGACTTGAGGGATGTCATCCTGCGGACTGGCAACCTGAAAGAGTCTGGTCGACCACAGTCGAGATTATTCAGGACCGTCTCTGGGAGCAGCTTCGTTCCAAGCGGTTTTTGTTTTGATATATCCATGTGATATATTTGCTTGGCTAGTTTGGTTTGTCCGAACATCCCATTGTTCCGCAAGAAGCTTGATGTAGGATGACCGCTGAAGCTCTTGCACACCGCATGTTACATTTGGAACTGCTGCTTTGTAACCTGCAAAACCAGGTGTAAAACGTCCACGATGCCATCATATGCCATCTGCGACGTATACAGTTTCAGGGTTTTGGGCCGTATTGATTTGGGGTGCTTTTGCAGCATTTACAGCTTGTAACTGAACGCGTGGTTCTCAATTTTGGATAAAACCATCGCATATTATGTTGAGTTGAACATGTCTGGAGCCAGAGCACGAATCGTTCTGCTCCTCACCACAAGAAAGTAATGTTGATGTTCCAAGCACCCTTACAAAGTCTTGCGTCTGGAAACTGCCAAGTTCCTGTACAAATAGCCAGTTCCAGCCATCAGTCCTTTCATCATCATTTTCACCTACTCTCCCATCAATCCATCACATGCCTCCATCGGGTCTTCACGTCTGCAGGCTTCAGTCCTCCTCATCATCATCCATCGGCGCTTCGACATCGATGTCATCAGAGCGTTGAAAGTAGAAGCAATGACCTGCAGGCTGGACGCGATGCTGACCTATCGCATGCCCCTTTTTTGGAGGTCAGACATTTACCGTGAAAAGAAAACATGGAATCGCATCAAGGGGATGGCTGTGTGTGTTGTTCTTTATCTTTGATCACCGGGGAGATTATTGCTCGCCTGCGACGCTTCCCAACCAGCGATGTCGACCCAAACCTTACCACACCGACCCACAGCTGCTACGTTTTTTTCGCACCAAATGATGTGTATCTCTATGAATATGTATCTCTAGGGCATGGATGTGGAACAAACAAAATGCGTTTAAGCGACATTCAAGATGAACACCTGAAGGCCGAAAGAAGTGGCCTTGTTTTATTCAAATAAGCGAGATATTACACATCCAATCACTTTGGAACCTGCTTCTCCATGGCGACCAGTTGAAACATGTCCCTGAAACCATGTGAACATGACACCCCAAGTCATGTGCCCTGAGCCTCTGCTGAACAAGGGTCTAACTAACCCACACACACACACACTCTATCACATATATATATATACTCTGCCTTGAAAGTGGAAAACCCTCTGCTTGTACGTAGAGGAAAATGCACTTCCACTTCCGTGTACATCAAGCAAATGAACCACATCCTCCGCTGACCCCTGTCCTGAATCCCTCGACGAGGTCTACCTGCCAACGCCTAGGTCTTGCTATCATTCTACAAAAGCACCCGTGCTTTGAACGCTGCAAATTCGGGCTCCTTCGGTTCCCGTCAAATTTCTCTCTCACACCCCGTCCAACACTTTGTGTCTGCTTTTTTTTTTTTTGTGTGTGTGTGTGTGTGGGTCCGTTCCAGATCCTTTTGGGGCAGTCATGGGCATCCCACATTGGATTCCAAACTGCGACATACCGAGGCCCCTTCCGGTCCTCTTTCTCCCTTGCGCCTGACTTGCCCACGCGTTTCAAGCTCCCATCAGCCAGGACGGTCACCGCGCCACCCGCCATTTGCACCGAGTCGTTGGTTCCTGACGTCTGCATTCGTTGCGGGTGGAGGTGCCAACGAGTCCGAGGACCCGGCCGTTGCGGAGGAAGCTCAAGGTCACATGGTCACATGCAGCTTGTGTAGAAAAAGCCTCTGTCCATCTGATTCTTGAAAGTGCATCGAAAGCATGGCCGAAGGCCACCGGATTATAAATGAATTGTGTACAGTGTACTTCCCTCTATAATGTACAAACAGGCGGAAAGAGTGCAACATCTCTGACTTTCATCTGGAATCACAGCATGTGTTTGGAGGGACAGGAACATAGAACCATATAAATATAAAATCTATATTCAATATAGAACTTATATATATATATATTTTTGTAGAACCCTTTTTGGTCACCAATGCAACCCTCAAACACGTGGGACTATCATTGAATATCGCCCAAATTTAGCTCACTTTCACGAAGAAAGGAGGGCGACTTCGAATGGATGGGATCTGGTGGCCCCGCGGCCCTCTTCCGAAGACATCTCAAGCGACAACCATTGTGTTTTGTCTCCATATCACCCAAGCCCAGAGAAAAAACAAACAAAACGGCCTCCTTCCCACGCTTCGCACGCGCTTCGCACACGCTTTTCGCAGACCTGGCCTAGGAGGAGAGGGAAATGGTGCGACTTGCTATGCACGGTCGTCCCGACGATGAGAAACTCCTCGAAAAGCGATGAGTTCCCGGGAATCTGGCAGTGGAACCCCCTTCCGGGCTGGGTGTCAGGTGTTTTTGGGGTTTATGAACTCGGTTTTTTGGTTTCACTGCGAGGACCCCCAACAAATCCCTCCGAAAACGGACCAGTTGGCGGGGTCTCCCTATTCTAATGCCCGGACCATTTCCGATCCAAAGCTTCACTATCCAAAGCAAAGTCCCAAGTGTATGTCTTGCAGGCTGGTTACAGTGCGTAGATGATCATGGTACAGCCCAAAAGCCTAGAATGTGTTGCGTGGAAAGTGTACAATGATGTGGTCAGATTCTTGTCCAATTTGTTGCCTTGACCAACTTCTGTTTTTTCCTTGACAATTTCTGGTCGTCCTGTTTTGTTCGGCTGATTGCCTTCCTTCATGCGCGCGTAATCCTGATTGTATCCAGAAACTGAACAAGAACAGGCTGAGTGCTCTGAACCCACCAGGACCTTGCTCTAAAATCATACAGTTGCGCAGGACAAAGCAGCATGCAGGGAGGCTACTCCGGACTCCAGGATCCCAAAAACCTGAGGCACACCGCGAAATCTCAACAGTTCATGCTCCATTCCTTTCCTCAGGGACCCTGAGTTCACCGGTCACCCTCCAGCCATCTCCGCCTTTCCAGAAAACCAACGACCCACCGCCGTCAGATCTGATCTCAGTGACGTTCAATCTCGAGCGAACTCTGTTTGTCCCAGAAATTCCACTGTACAGGTATCAACAGGTCCCCTGATCTTCCAAAAGTCTCTATTTAGAGGTTCCACCCTTATTTAAAGACTATAGTCTTTATTTTTTTCAATGAAAAACATCTAAATAAGGTCTATAGACTCTAATTAGAGGTTAAACCCCTTAAAATAGAGAAGGTACCTCCTCTATTTAAAGCTTTAAGCTTTAAATTAGAGACTATAGTCCTTATTTAAGGGATGTTCCAAAAGCCCTTATTTAAGGGATGTTGACTGGCAAGAGAAACGACATATTTTCCATGTTAGAGTCCACTTCAGAGCTCCGGCACATCGTGCTGTGCAGCAAAACGGTCAAACACAGAGAGCCCCACTGCTTTTGCAGTGCTTCCCCCACCTCTGCGCTCGGCCAAGAGTGCAATCCTACCGCCCCATGACTCCTCAGTGTATGTCCAGAAGGCAGACGGCGGAGTGCTAGTCTGGACAAGTTCGAGAAAGGCGTGCAGCTTTGGCTTGGCCGGAAAAGTCTTCCAGCCATGAGCCGCGGAGTAATCACCCAGCGCGACATAGAGAAGGGCGAAGCGCAGGGCAGCCTGTTCTAGAAGTTCTCTGTGAAAGGCCTCTTTGCTCAGCTGCTGGTAGCAGACCTGCAACTGCAGGGCGGCTGCTGCTGCAGTGGCGGCCGCAGGCTGTGTGTGGTCGAAGAGCTCGTTTGTGACCTCGACCGCGAAATCAATGAGGTCCCTAGCTTCACCGGCTTTCGCCCGCAAGCGGGCATAGGCGCCAGGCTGCTTCCAGATCATTGTGGGCTTGAGCTCCAGCAAGCAAGAAGTCTTGCAGGTTCTCTTGTAGTAGGCCTTCATACGCAAGTGTAGAGCGCTGCACTTTTGCGCTTGGTTGCCCTCGAGGTAATCGCAGGCCCAAGCCAAGATGCCCCCTAAGAATTCCAAGGAGATGCCCAAGTCAGTGGTGTGGAGCCAATCCATTTGGAAGGTTTCGGTGGTGACAAATGGAATGTTGAAGGCTGGAGAAATCGATTTCCCATCAGCCACCATCCTGACCAAGAGATCAGCATGGCAGAGGCGGTGGCTGGGCTGTCGCCAGTCGGAGTTGGAGGCCACTTCGCGAATGCGGTCTGGCGTCATATCACATCGATAGCAGCAGCCAGTTTTGTCGCGCCAGCCAGGGAAGCGAAAGACAGACTTGAGGGCTGACCAATCACCTTTGATTTCCAGCAGCACCCCACGGGGCAAAGGCATGGCAGAGCCCAAAGCCTTCTTCCTCCAGGCATCGGTGTCGTCAAATGGCTTTCCGTCTGATCTGGTCTGAGGCCAACAGCCAGTGGCCAACTCTTTCATGAAAGTGGCCAACTCTTTCGCTTTAAGTGGTCCACAAAGTTGCCACCGCAGAAGACATACATGAACTTATCCAACTCTTTCTCCTCAGGGTGCTCTTTCTTCTCGGCTTTGAAGGCAAACTTCTCGACCGACTCAGCAATTAGGTGCTGCACCAGAGAATCCTTGCGCTCAAAGGTCATCGAGTCCGGCTGGAAGGCGTTCATCTCCAAAATCTGGTTCCTGGCAGGGCAGCAAACAAAAAATGTTCTTTTCTGTCTTGGGGGTGGGGACCGCTGTGGGAGTTTAGTTTCAAAAGAGTCCTTGTAAAAAAACCTTCGCGCAGCTTGTCACGGGACTCCGTAGCATCCGTGTGTTGGTTCTCCACACTCATGAGCCACTGGGTATTGTTCTTGCCGCCAGCAGCTTCGAACTCTTTGAGCAGGCCCTCCTTTTCAGCCGCTGTCTTGCTCCAGTACATGTCCAAAAACTGCTGAGCCTGTGACTTCTTCTCTGCATCCTTGGAGTGGTTGGCCCTGTACTTCATGAGGTTCAAGACACGCTGCTGAAGCTGCATCTTCTCTGCAGCACTGGAGACGGTTTCTACCTCCAAGGCCTCAGTCGACTTGCCCCTTTTCAATTTAAATTTAGCCCCAGCAGCAGGCTCTGCCTTGGCCTTGGCTTTAGCAGCAGCTTTGCCAGCAGGCTTTTTGGGCGCAGCAGCCTTACCAGCAGCAGGCTTCTTGGGCGCAGCAGCCTTGCTCGCACCAGCCATGGCAAGGACAAGTGGTACTCAAGACAAGTGGCCTCACAGACAGGGAGCTACTCAGGGGTGGAAAAGCTGAGAGCAGCGCCAAGCAAGAGCTGCAGCTCATCTCTCTCTCTTTGTCTCAAAAAAAAGAGAGAGCGCATCGCACTTGCCATCCTGTACGGTGCTCCCAAAAACCGGCAAAAGACAGACAAACACATCGACCCAGCAAGAGAAGAACAAGAAAGGGGACAGGAAGGAGAAACAAACCGGAAGGACAAGATGTGCAATATGTTATGTCCTCAGGTCCTGACTCACAAAGAGCAAAGGACGCCAAGGTCTAGCCCCACCAGTCCAATGAACAAACATCTACTCCAAAGTCTGGGAAACAGACATTGAGCAGAAAGCCTGCGCAGCAAAAATTTTCAAATTTGAAAAAATTTTCAAAAATGTTCCTTTTAATATTAAATTAAAAGGTAGACTTTTGAAAAAAAAAATCAAATTTGAAAATTTTGGTGGGTGTGCGTGTGTGTGTGTGTTGGTGTTGCGCGCACAACTGCTCCAAAACTCACAACTCGAGTTTGCTTCCAAAGCCACAACCGTTGAACTCCTATCTGTTTGTTTAACAAAGGAAACATTGCCAAATCCAAAGCCACTCAGCTGGCATAGTTTTCCTGGCTACAGGATTGGTCGCTGTGACCGGTATGGATTCAGGGCATCTCCTGGCCCACTATACTTATAGGTGCCTCTGGTGGGTAGGGTCTGGGATCCAAACATATATACCAACCCTTAAAAAACAAACCCTTGCACTTAACAGGTGGTTATATATATATATATATCTTCATTCATTTGAGGGGTTATACCCACAGACCCAAACATGTTCCAGTGCAGGCTCTAGGAGCTCAGGCGCCACTCTTGGATGTGGCGGAAAACAGCCAACGCGCGGCGCCACATGAGGCATGTGGTGCTCAAATCCGGGGACGCGCCCAGCTCCTGCGTGTGTGGAACGACTTCCCACTTGGCGTCAGCAGCAGCAGGCCGAATGTCCTCGAAGGTCTCATCGCTCTGTCCTGCACAGGGTCAGGTGTGCGAAACAAACAAACATGCATGCAGGCCTGACTCCCAAGAGCAAAGGCCCAAAATCATGCGCAAAACACATGAGTTCAAACATATATTGTTTTTGGTTTTGGTGGCTTGCTCCTGACCCAGAAGGCAAAGGAGCAGGCCACCCATAGCTGCAAGAACTGTCAAGTCGGTCGAGAGTCCAGGGGGGAGCTGTCCAAAGTCCGCTGCTTCCTTTGAACCCGGCATGCATGCATCGCACACTTTGAGCTGCTGCAAGTCGACTCACTCACTTCAGACCTTGCGCCTCTCTATACATCTAGGCCTCCTGACCTCCCTACGAAGCTAAGGATGCCGTGACTGCCCTGGTGCACTGCTGAACCGTGTGCGCGCGCGCGTATGTTGTGCTGTGCGCGGGGAAGCGACATGAACAGGACGAGATACAGAGGGGTCGACAATCGGGGAAAGAGACAAGACCAAACAACAAGACCAAACAAAACACAAATCTCCCCCAAAACAAACTTTGCTTTTGGTTCGCAGCTGTGCAATCAAAGAAGGCCCCGCTTCCGCCAACACGACGGAGTGCAGCCCCTGCGATTTCTGCAGGTTCCACAGCCTTTGGGCCGGAGCTTCTGTCGCTCCGTCCCTAGCATGGTTTTGCCTGTCTTTTCATTGTACAAATCTGGCAGAGGCGACAAGCTTTCCTCCGAATTGGCCTCCCCCTCAGATGCCAGGGCTGCAGCAGCAGGCGCGGCTGCGGGTCGCTTCTGCGCGGGTCTCTTCTTTGGGGCCGAGGCCGGCTTTTTGCGGGTTGCCAAATCCTCCAACAAAGTAGGGCATTCAGTTTCTTCTTGGGCGCCGTCTCGCCAAGTTGCCACTAGGAACCCATTGCTCCCAGCGCTCATCTTAGCTTCCTCCCGACGCCCACCCGGATGCATGCGCACTGCCACACGCTTCTCCCACTCAAAGAAATGCGCCACAGTCGCCCCCTCTTTCAAATCCGGCGCTGAGCTCGCCACTGTCAAAGCCTCGGAGGGGCGTGGAGCCAAGCGCCTGACTTTCTTTGGCGGTGACACACCCATGGCAGCAAACACATCCTGTTGGAGAATGCCCGCATTGTCCGAGCTGGTTGTGTCTGGCCTAGCGCCTGCGCTTGAGGACGCGGCAGTTCCTGACGCCACCGGCAACGGTGTCGCAGAGGATCTGCCCAGGTCGCGCAATCGCTTCACCACACGGAGAACAGAAGCTGCGGTCTTTGCCCCTGACGTCACAGATTTGGCCTTCGTCCTGCACGCTTTGAATGCCTTGTGCAACTGCTGGGCAAACATGGCCTTCTCAGAAGCCTGCACTCCAGTGTGGCAGCAGCTTCCAAGGCTGAACGGTTGGGTCGCTCTGTCAAAGCAAGGATGTCCAACATGAGTTCTTCGTATTCTGTCACCACATCTTCATAGTTGCTCGCCCTGTATTTCTCCTCGTCCAAGTGGCCCACATGCAGGCGCATCAGCCTGCATAGCTCCGCTGCGCTTGCTGTGTTGCGCGCGCGGCCGCCGCTCATGGCTGCCTCAAAAAAAAAATGGTGCTATATCCAGGCGGCAGCGACTGAGTGGGCACGCACAGAAGCTCACTGCATTTCAGGTCATTGCAAGCACTCATGTGGACTCTTTCAAATGAAAACCCCTTAAATTAATTAAAGACTATAGTCCTTAAATAAGGTTGATAGAAAACCCTTTAAATTAAAATAGAGACTTTTGGAAGATCAGGGTCAACTTCATATATAGACTCTTGATGAATCAAACCCCCCAAATGGATTGAACCACCTCGTATCGTATCACAGGGGTATTCATCCACCGTAGTCTACTGTCCAGACCCGTCACCGGGCCGACGGGTGTTAACGAAACGGCCCGGTCCTGCAGCCACTCGGCCACCCCGACTGGTCCACGTACCAAGGTCCAACCACCCTGAGAGCGCCGAGATGTGGTCGTGGCCCAAAAGGGAACACATCGCAGAGTCCGATCGTGTGTGGAATCAAGTGCGGACTGGGGATTTCTAGGCTGGGGCACATCCACTGACATTTTGGTCCTACGGGTCTTGTGGTCTGTGTCATTTGCCTATATATTATATACGGTTCCCGGGGTGAGCTGCCTATTGACAGCCCAAAAAAGAACGTCTGGGCACAGTCAGTGTGGTTGTAGCCTCAGACCACTCATGAAATAGGGGCACCCACCATCAGAGGATTTTTGTCTGGTTGTTAAAGTTAGCAGTTAGCCACAATGAACTGATTAAACTCAACATAACGAGACTCTAGAAGGTCCCGTATCCAAGACCCAAATTTGTCGGACATTTGCCGCCCATAGTGCTCCCCGTCACCTGTTCCAGGCTTCGCCGCGTGGATGTATATAGATTGTTGAATTCCAACACATCAATCATATGTTTGCAGTAATTCATTGAGATGACCCTAGGGATGTTCACCAGGTCTTTGCCTAATTACTCCCAGAGATAAGTCCTCAGTTTTAGTTTTGCTTGGAAGGTTGCCCTGTGCCACTTTAGCTGAACATTTTTGGCCAAACCACGGCGAAACACAATGAAACATCCAACAATGGTGAGGTGTGATGTCTCGAAGATTCGAAGATTACTTTCTGGGGTTTGGTGCTGTTTACCTGTTTGCAAGTTGGCCCTTCGCCATTTTAGCCATTGTTCCTTGCACCTTTCCAGGCACATCTTTCGCAGCACGGCTGTGGCTAAATGATTCCAAATAAAATGCTGGGTCCAACATCAGGATCCAAAACCGGGCTTGGAACATTAGCCGAATCAGCCAGCCGATGTTCCCTGAACTGTGGGGTCGGCTTATCAGGGGCTCAAGCCACCCCATTCTAGCCAGGCTGGCCAAACGGCTCCAAAATAAAAGGATGGCCAGTTACTACCCACTTTGGCCATCGCTTTCCCCATAGTCTTGACATTAGGGAAAGACACTTTCACCGTTCACCTATATTACACACCTCACATGTCTTTTGTACCTTGCCCACATGGGTCAAAAAACTGGTTTGCAGGCCAACTCTGATCTTTGGCCTGTACGCGCATGCAATGACTGTCGAAGTGTGTTTGCCACTTCTTTTCTTGCCTTGCCCAACATTTTGATTGAAGGTTTTTGCTGTTTGCCTTTAACTGTTGCAGAAAGAGATGTTTCTGTTCTTCTTTGGCTTTGGTATGTTTTGGTTCTTCCACGAGATACACGACCAAATAGGGTGAGGGATTAAACAAATTGAGCATCAAACAACATATTCCCAGTGAGCAATGAAAGGAAGGAAAGACTAGGGAAAGGAAAGCAGCAGCAGGGCGGGCGACCAAAGGACCATTAAAGGATGTTTGCAGCACATAGTAAAACAATTTAGGCATAGTAAAACAATTCATGGCGGTGGAAGGGGGGTTGGGGGGATGGCGCAGCGCCTCCCCCCAGAGCGAACCAAACATCAGAAGCCATCAAACATCATCAGACTCAAAAGCCACCACCATCGAAAACTACACGCCCCGTTGCCGCATTAATGAAGGGCACTCAGAAAGTGACGCGAGGACCAAGGCAACCGGGTAGCGCTTTGTTTTCGCAAACCTCGTGTTTTTGACCAATATTGACCAATGGACCACGAGGCCAGCGGACCAGGACAAGGACCAGGAAATGGACCAGGGCACCAAAGGACCATGGGACCAAAGGACCAGGGGACCTGGAGCAGGGGACCAAAGGATGAGGACCAAAGGACCAGGGGACACTAGGACTTTGCAGCTTATAGTGTCGTTCCATGTCAATTTTCGAACATGAGTTTTGAGATGCTATGAGTTGTGCGGTCCTCACGTTGACCTCGCACCTCGTGAAGGGAACATGGTGGTGAACTGACCCTTGGTGTCCATTCCTTTTCCCTGTGCACCATGGGCCATGGCGGGGCGGCCATGACGGCCATGGCCTCGCCGTCCGCGCCCGTCCGCGAGCGCCTGCATGTACTTCACAGCGCTGAAGGGTGGATAACTTCGCCTGAAAACGAGCGGAATCGACGAATCCTTCGCGCCTCAGGTGTTGGACAAAAGGATTTTGACTGCATGAGGTGATGTGAGGTATCAGAAAAGACCGAGAAACTGGCTGGAACGTGGATCAATCACCCAGGATGTCTTCCCGGGTTGCCATGACTACTAGTAGCATAAAAGCTAAAAACCACCCTGAAAACCCACCAAATGGCTTCGCTGCGACCACCTTCGAAGAGTCGGATCGGATTCTCCCGGTGTCGCCTGGAGCTCGAGGGCTCAGGGGGTGGATCATGGGGTCCTTGGGGTCTGGGCGGCTTCGCACCTCAGAGCGAAGGACGGGACGTTGAGGACTTCACCCGGTAAAGGTTTAGGTTTAGGGTTTAGGCTCTAGGTTTAGGTTCAACGAGATGCTCTGACCCGAATCATGCGGACCCGACCAGGGAAATCAAAAGAACATGGCTGAGTGCAACACGGATTGTTAAAATCCGGTCACTAACCCTTGCAGTTGTTAAGGGGATGAGCGGACCGGGTTATGACCACGTCCAACCGGACCATGCCTTGAGTAATCTTGAGTATATATGATAGAACGTAGGACACATGTTGAAAAAACTAGACCCATCAACAAAATGCCCAAAAACGTCCTTTTCCCGGTGGGGGCAATGTTTAGGCGAAGCCTACCAAAGCAACACAACAAGCAATTTTGGTTTCGATTTTTGCTCTGTGCCATTTTGGCATCATGCTTTCTATCGCGAACTTGCTGCATCTTTCTGCGTCATATTTTCCGGCGAGACGGAAATACGACATCTGTTCAGGCTCAGGGTCCAGGTATACACATTTAGCATCAGTTGGCACGAACAGAATTGTCAACATAGAGATTGATATCAGCCACAAGAGATTTACCTAGAACATTGCCCTCAAACATTCTTCACACTATTGACTGGACGTCATTCTTGAGACCAATTCCTAGATCTCCAACCCCTTTTGAGGGCTCTGGTCGATCTGGTCGATGGTTTAACAAAACCACCAGGGCTGGTTCCAGACCACTTTCACATCTTTCGCAGTTGCATATTGTACAATGCACCAAATAGCAGGCCCAAAACAGTTAGGTAGACATTAATTGTATAGACATTTGTAGACACATAGCGAACAGCAATCTCTACTCGTCCATGCGTGGAAGGTGGACGATTCACCTATACATTGACTCCCTTCAACCACCCTTACCTAGAGTAGGTGACTATAAATTTCCATGGAACGTCAGTGTCTGGGAATTGGACATTGATTTGACCCTCCTGCCAATTTCCAACCGGACTGCGGGGATATCTGCTGATTAGTTCTTTACATGCAACCCAGCCCAACCGAGAGCAATCAAAGTGAGGAGATGTCAGCAGGGTGCAGCCAGCAAGTAGCCCGCCCTTTAAACAAACATCAAGACATCTAAAAAAGAGAACACTTCTTACTAGTCGCGATGCCTTTGTTACAAGTATATAGCTTCTTGTTCCTAGTAGTAATGCCAGGAGCTACTTGTAGCTTCTTGTTACTTCTAGCGATGCACCTTGTTACTATACTATTTGCTCCTGCTGCTAATAGGGATTTCGTTGTGTGAGATGCCAATCGACTGCTTCACCACTGCACCACGACACTCGACTCCAGCAGTCGACTGCGAGGGCGGCGTGACATCTCATGGGTTTGCTGAGTGGTGACATCCCGATTTCAACATGAGCGAGGACATGTCGAAAAAATGGTGGGGTTCCTGCTATCAGCTTTTTGAGTTCAAGATTTGGTTTCAAACAGCCACCAGTTCGCCAGTTCCTCAAAACCTCAAAACAGGGGCAACACGGCCCCAGGTGATCCCAGGTCTCAAGTCTTCTCAAGTTCTAGGGCCAAAGGGCATGCTCGACAATGCCAGCCAAGGTTGTTCCAGACCTCACCACGGAGCCAGCAGAGCTCGGAGCGCCGATTTGGCAGAAGTGAAATCGTGTGGCGTCTGGACACCGATCTTCTCCAAACGAGAAACCGATCGGTGTGAAAAGCCGATATCATCCGGTCTCAACACCGAAGAAGTGCTGTCGATAGACGATGCCTGCAATGGCTCAAGTACAACTGGATACTCAGGAGTCTACATAAAGATAGAGTAAAGCGAAGTGAAACAGAATGCTATGTAAAGGTCATTTGCTCAATGACCAAATCAAGTTTCCAAATTGGCCGAAACTGTTCGCTTGGAATTGAGGATGCACAAGGAAGCTAGCTAGGGAGGTATGTTTAGATCAACTTGCACATTCACTGCTTGGTGTTTTTCACACTTGGACTCGCTGACATCCTGGTCGAGTAGGCCCAAATTGATGCAAACAACCTTTGAAGCCTGAAGACAAGCTCGCACAGCCCAGCACCTCGCACACGCTGTTACCAACCAACAGCACAGCTTATTCATGCTTCACGTCCCCACAACATCCCAAAGACGACGGAACCTCTCCAAGGAATGATCACGACTTTTACACGACTGTTCTCTCCGGTCGTGGCTCCACGCGAGATCCGTCTGCGTGGTGGCATCTGTTCTTACCGCCTGTTTCACGCGGGAAAAAGAAGCGACTGGCAGCCTTTGTATTGGAAGAAAGCTCAGTTGCAGAGTTGCAGCCATCATGCCAGTTGATAAAATCAAAGCGTCTACATTGGAGATGTAGAACCGTTCTGGTGGAGGGGTTCTACTTGGAGTTTGCATTAGCGGCCCCAGATTATATAGTTTAAAATATGTGTTGACGAACTTGAACATCACAAGACCCTCCCAAAAACTGTGTTGGAAAAATATACAAACCGCATCAAACCTTAGTTCCTAGGCGTTGTCACCGCTGGGGACGTCCGCCATGTGAGGTCCATCCACAGCATCCCGTGCGTCGTCGGGGGGGGCGAGGAAAAGCATCAACGGCTTGACTTGGAGCGACTGGCTTTGACTCCCCAGCTCAGCTGGGGTACGTGTCCGAACCCATTCAAGATCGCCAGTGGTTGCCCATAGAGATTGCAATATATAATATGAGGGACACTGGTTGACCTGTTGCGAGAAGCAAATGTGCCAACTGCTGGTACTGCGTGGCATCTACAACCCTCCCTCAAACTAGTCTTCAAACATGCTATAATATCATATCGATAATGTATGGCTGCAGGTCAAAACCTGGAGCGTTGGCCTCGTGAGATGATCTTCCTCCATTTTAGGGGACCACCAAAAGGTCGCTCCGAGGCGACGTCGCATCCGGGGCAGCGACGGTCGCGTCGTGGTGTTGGATCTCTTCCGAAAACGAAGGATTCTTCGAGTTGTTGGATCTCTTCCAAAAGACATTCCACGTCCGGTGAAGCTGGACCTTGATGTGTTCAAGATTGTTCCACCAAAAAACAAGACAAATCCCCCCAGCCGTGCTCGCCTTTGAGTTGTTGGAGCCTGAAACGAAGCTTAGCGGGTTGGCGAAGTACCATGAAATCGCTCCCTCAAACCGAATGAAATGGATGCCATGGGCCCGCAGACTCGGAGGATCATGAAAACCATCCGGTTTGACCACACTGGTGGTGAACTCATTCGTCTAACTCTTCCACCATGATGATTTCAGGGATTGTAATCCGTGGAAGCCTAAGAGTTGTGACCTTGCACCCTCCTGGTGAGGAAAGGAGAGGATGGCAGGGTTTCTTGCTCTGAGATGGGGTGCCAGCTGTTCGTTGACAGTGCATGGAAGCTGAAGCCTGAAGACTTGAAGAATTGAAGGCTTGTCTGACTGCATCAGCAGCACGTTGAAGCTTTTTCTTCGAAAAACAAAGTGAAGCAAAAGCTCGGATCTCGTCGGAGTTTAGACGCAAAAGCTTGGAAGAGGCGAGTTGCAAACCAACCGCCAAAAAGAATTCGTGGTCAAACAGGCACTTTTCCAAAAACATTGTGTGACATATCAATGACATCATACTATTGAATTGGACCTGGCTTTGTCCCTCCTTCTATCTACGCTCGGATGACTGAGGAAAGAATTCACGCTTCATGGTGTCCTGTTTTTCATGTTTGTTTCTACAACAGGAACATCTACAGTATTCCTACATTGATCAACTCCAGCATCATCTCACACATTCCGCCCATCAGCCGCCATTCAAACACCTCGCCTGAATCCCGCGCAGAGAGGGAAAAGCTGTAGCTGAGGCTTCTTCCTCCATCCTAGGCCACAAATGCACTCTGATGCCTAAACGAAGACACACAGTTTCTGGTCAATCGTCACCTGAAACAACGACGACCCTGTAACCGTCAGTGGATCTCCTTGCGGTCTGTGAAACGGAGTGTTGAGATGCACATCCAATTCGAATGCCTTCCATACCTTCCATTGCCTTTCCCGATTAAAGAAAACTTCGCTCCTTTCGGAAGTACGAGTTTAATGTGGTTCAGTGGTCCTTCTCTTCATTGTATCCCCTATCGGTCGTTTGAGGCACGGGGGGTGCGCAAGCCACTGGGGGCGCCAGTTGGAAGCCACTGTGAGAGTGATCCACCGGATGCATCCGGATGCAACAACATGTTGAGCAAAGGGACTCGGCAAGAGGTCAGCAATGCTTGGGTTGTCCACCTAAACCATCATAATCCACGTAATCATATACGTAATCACTCATACTTCATCATAGTACTGGGTCTCGTTGTCACATCTATCATCCAATGGAGACTCTCGATTGGGCGACCCCCCCAATTGGATTGTAGAACCGACATTCACCCACCGTCTACAGGGTCACCCAACCTGCGGTCTCGGAGGGTCGCCCGACGCAGCCATTCGATGGAACCCTCGCATCGATTGACCGAAAACGGCACCCATCTTGTGGTTGTGCCACACCAATCTTCTTTTGACCAAGTTAAGTCCGTTCACCTCAAAGTATGTATGGGTTAGGTCTATGATTAAAGGCCTTGTTCAAAAATAGTGATTTGCTTGTTGACTAACTGTTGCAGGTAAGAACGGACAAACCCAAAGGGACGACCCGGCGTGTAGCTCGAACGGAAGACCTCCCAGGCGTCAGCTGTGCTGGTTGGGGATATGGTTGACCGGTCTACGCAGCCAGGGCCGAAAAACACGTGGAGTGGAAGCAAGCCGCAAAGATCCACCGTTTTCGACAGCTGTGCGATTTTGCATGTTTGGTCTTTCATCTTCATGGGGCATCATGGGACATGAGACATGGGACCTTCTGACAGCAAATTGGGCTTTCATCGCGGTGTCTTCTTTGGCGATGACACCTGGCTAAAACCGACTCCAAAGTGCCGAAAGAAGGCGGAGAGTACTTGTGCGAATTCACACCGAAACTCGGGAGTCGGAGAAGCCGACGTTTTCGGAGCAACTTTTGTCTCTTGATGGCTGATTAGTAAACCATAGTAAAACCTGCCATATATTAACCCCTCACTAGCGTAGCAGAATGGTTTTGGATCCATGGGAGCTTTGATTCATCAGTCCAGAAATGTCTGCCATCTTTCAAAACTCTGCTCTGGAGCTTTTGACCAGCCCCGGCCCCATGCGCGGCACCCGCGGGCTGAGGAGGCCGGGCACGACAGTCATCGATACTCCTGACGGGGCACGGGTCCCGTCTGCGGGGTGGACGAAGTGGTTCCACCCTATGGGTGGCGTGTATTGAAATAGGGAGACCTCCAGTTCGACTCCCTGGAAGAAGGAACCAGTATGCCTACCAAAAACGCTTAGCTGAGGGTAAATTTTTCCTTACCGACGCGTGCGTGAAACGACAAAGACCAACCAAACATCCAGCCAGGGCCAGGGGGTCTCCCTATGAACATACACAGGCCCATGGTCCCCTACAGGCCTTCCGCCGAAACAGGTCAGCGGTGGTTGCAAAGGTTTCGGTGCTGCCGCACAAAAAGAAGCGGAACAAGCGGACAACATTGCAACTTTGCACTACGAGCTGTTCCCACGAGCAGGTCTTCCTTTGACAGTTCTTGAATTTGTACTAATACCCCAAGCACCACAGGTAACTCTTGTAGCTCTACATGCGAATCCAACCAACATGTCTTCTCATCAGGTCATCCAGGCTATGGGCACTAGTATGCGCCTCACGTGGACAAGATCTCCTTTGTGTCTCCACTGACTCAATGCCCACTGACGTGAACATATATGACAATAGGAGTGCCCATGACGCGGCTGGCAGTGCAGGAGTACTTCATCATTCCCTGCAATTGCCCCCTTCTGTGCACATTCGAAAGACTTCCTGCCAGGGCACAAGCGATTCTTCCGCATCAGCGGTAGGCTGCTGGACTGGTTGGGGATGTGATCCCCCTGCACACGCACGGCGACGGGCACCAGCTGTTGATCCAACAGCTGATTTGGCATTGGATTGAAATCCTGATGGATCCCGGGTCTCAAAGACACTATATATATTAGGATCTATTATTATGATCTATTTAATTTATCAATGATATTGGTAGGTGAATGTAGGTGATGGTTTTTCTCCTTCGGGGGACTGATGCCCAAGATCGATGAATTGGTTCTGATTCTTGGCCCGAGAATTCTTGAGAAATCATCCGGGTGGGTTTGAGGAATGGAAACATCCGTTTTAACCTTAGTCGAACTGGAACTGGAACCAAAGTTCCAACTTTGAGCAAGCATACGTATGCGCCTGCAACTGCCCAAAGCTCTTCTGGTCAGCCAAAGCAAGGGTTTGCAAGGATGCTGGTTGATGGACCAAACTATTCTTCTGGGTGCTGGTGGGAGACCTGGGTGTGCGACTTGTGCCAACGGAAAACATATCCACTTCAGAGCGGTGCAGCCATGGCACTTGCGCTCGCTTGCGCTACAGAGATCCAGCAACCACATGCTCCTCATCTACTCTTCAGATGTGCGACCTTGTATTTAAGATTTAAGACCTTTTATACCTTTGACTTCCAAGACCTGCTCATCTACTAAAAACAAACATCCTGCGTCGATGGACGCACCCCATCCATCCCATGCCAACTCTGAGGGTCTTCTCTCTTTTTCATTCGCTCTGTCGCCTGATTCACTTGCGAGAATCTTGACAGGGAGATGTCCAGGCTCACCTGATCATTCGCTGCAAAAACACGTGCGCACGTTGACCCAAATCCGTGGCCATGTCCGTGTAGGACTTTTTGACCCAAAGCGCCGGGGTCCCAGGGCTGGTCTTCAGGGTAGACATCGATGGAGATGAAAACGCATCGATCCAGATGTTCACCCAGGATCACCCAGGTATGCCATACAACCTTTTGGTGACCGACACCACAAGTCCGGAAACATGGATGAAGGAACAGCGCTACTGAATAACATGTCAAACACATGATCTAAAGCCACCCCTGTGGTTGTTGACCACATGTTTGTCAGCCCGCATTTTTGCCCTAGCTTCCAGCACGCAACTGTTCCTCGCATACATATATGCAAAGGTGCATGTATACTTCCTTCAAAGTGGAAAGTCATATCGCGTGCATACACCCAACACTCAAATCCCTCCCCAATTCTCATTTCACATAGAGATTGTGACATTGTGGTTGGAGGAAATGGCTCCCGACAGGTAGCTCGCAAGAAAAACTCTCCTATCCACGATGTTCTCTGGGTCTTGAACATTTGAGTGGATTGAATTTGCGTTGGAAAGGACTCAGGCACACTTTTTGATACAGTCTATCATAGTCTATCTGTTTGGGGGGTGTCATGTGCATGGAACCATGGACTCAACAAATCTCCAGAAAGACCCCTTGGAAGCATGTTGTTCACTTTGGACGGCGCAAATCCAGTTTCCAACAATTTAAGAACCAAAGCTGGGACAACCTGGTCTCGTTTGGAAACTCCCCTTTTCTTCCGGTCAACCTCCCCTCTGGCTGCGGCCTGATTGTCGAACTCTGAGATGTCTCTCATGTCTCTCTTGGTCAGCCCCTGCGAAGCGAAAGCAAAGGAACTTCTCGAAGGCTTTATATATATAATATTAACAGAACGGGTGTCCCTGAGAGTGCGGTTGTCCATTGATTTGCAGATGTTTTTTTCTGGAAATTTTGCACCAGATACAGACAATGATTTGCAGATGTTTTTCTGTAACTTTTGCAACAGATAGAGACATTTCAGATAGGACCAGATGTTTTGAGTATTCAGAAATACCAAAAAAATACAATTTTCCAGAGGTTTGGGAATTTGGTGGTTCCAAAAAACCTGGGGTTTCCAAAAAACAAAAAAAACAAAAAAATCAAAAAAAAACAATATTTCAAAACTCTTTCTGCAGAAGCCCCAAGTGCAAAGACCTCTGGAAACTGGAAAATTGTTTTTTTTGCTTTTTTTTGTTTTTTGGAAACCCCAGGTTTTTTGGAACCACCAAATTCCCAAACCTCTGGAAATTTTGCACCAGATAGAGACATTTCAGATATGACCAGATGCTTTGAGTATTCATAAATACAAAAGACTACTAATTTCCAGAGGTTTGGGAATCTTGGGTCTCCAAAAAAAAACAAAAGAACAAAAAACATCCAGAGGTCTTTGAACTTGGGGCTTCTGCAGAAAGAGTTCTGAAATATTTTTTTTGTTTTTCATTTTTTTTGGTTCATCTATCTGGCGGCCCAAGCAGACAGGGGACATCAATAGGAGGAAACATTACAATACATGAATGGCAAAAAGTCATATCTAGTAAGCAGAGAATGGTTGTGGTGCAGTATCACAAGAGCAAGGGATTTTAACAATGTATATTTTTCAAGAATGAAAACGCAGATGAAGAGATGCAAAATAATTTAGTAATAGGATATTTAAAAAACAAGATTGAAGGACACAAAAAACAGGATAAAGTGGCTGATAGAGAAATAGATGAAGACAACTATATCAATGAACATTGATGTTTGAATCATTTCCATGGCTGTTGTGCCCACTGTGGAATAAAATCTTATATTGAAATGAAGCAAGGCAAATTATCAAAAAACTTCACAGCACAAAGACTAGACAATACACTGTGCCATTCTGTGGATAATTGCACTCCATACTGTAAGTATTGTAATTGTAGTGCTCACTGATTATTTTTGAAAATATGGAAGTAAAGCAACAACTGTAAGAGATGCAAAAAAATATTCTGAAATAAAACTGTTTGATGTTGAATATTGTTTTTAGAAAAAATGTTGAGACAAAGAAAAAACACAGAGGTCAGAACA